CGACGACGACGACGATTACTACTGCTCCTGCTCCTGCTCCTGCTCCAGCTCCAGCTCCTGGTCCTGCTGCTGCTCCTGTTCCTGCTCCTGCTCCTGCCCCCCCGTCCCCCAGAGCGGGGGGGCGCAGGAGGAGGAGGAAGAGGAGGAGGAGGAGGAGGAGGAGGAGGAGGAGGGTGAGGGAGCCGGGAGGAGGCGGCAGGGAACATGGCATGCGGGTGCTCTCGGGCTGCTCTGGCTCCAGCTCCAGCTCCTGGTCCTGCTGCTGCTCCTGTTCCTGCTCCTGCTCCTGCCCCCCCGTCCCCCAGAGCGGGGGGGCGCAGGAGGAGGAGGAAGAGGAGGAGGAGGAGGAGGAGGAGGAGGAGGAGGGTGAGGGAGCCGGGAGGAGGCGGCAGGGAACATGGCATGCGGGTGCTCTCGGGCTGCTCTGGCGGGCCTCTTCCCCTCGATGCTCGGGCAGGCGCTCGAGGAAGGCCTCCCTCTCAAGCAGAGGGGCCGCGTCCCGGGCGCACGGGCGGCGGGGGGGTCGGGGGGCGGGGGGGGCGGGCCCTGACGACGAGGTGGTCGGGATGACTTTGCCGTAGGCGTTCGTCTTCTTGTTCTGCCTGCAGAGCGGGGGGGGGGCAGGCAGGAGTGGCGGAGACAGAGGTACTCGGACCCAACCTTGGAGGCCTAGCGGAGAGCTGGGGGGTCAGGACGAAGGCAACATGGGGGTACGTTCGGATTGGGATGAGCCCAGGGCGCCGCGGCCGTTCCAAACCGCCCCGAACGCTCTGAGAGCGCTCGGGAACGCTCTGGAGCGGCTTATTTTGGAGGGCACCAACTATACACCAACACCGATCCTGGTGGCCAGGATCACCCTGGGCCCAGGATCGGTGTATACGCAAACCTGCCTGGGGCAGGAAGGCATATACACCGATCCTGGGCGCAGGATTGGGCTGACCAAGATCGGTGTAGGTGTATAGTTGGTGTCCTCCGTATATCCTCGTCCTGGGCCTGCCTTTTGCGGGCGCAACCAAGCGAACGCAACGTGTGACCATCGCTGCGAACACGAACAGTGTCGGTCGGCCAAGGAGAAGGGAAACGGGGCTTCTGCTGCCCGAAGCGAGCTCAAGCATACCGCAAGCACATAGAATAAGGATGCGCGGTGAGGATGCAAGGGCCCTGGAGGGCCCTGTCGACACCGTGCGGGGCCGGGCGCGGCCAGCGAGAGCGGCCGAGCATGGGCCGAAGCGGGAGGACGCAAGGGTAGCCTTGGAGATGTGCTCGTCCTCACTATGCGGGTTGACTGCATGTGGATCAGGATCGTCAGACATCTCTCCATCCCCACTTGGGATGCACTGGTCCCGCTGTCCGACCCAGCCGCTCGGGTGGGGATAGGTGCGGTATCCGTCGATCTCCAGGGCAGCCCTCCCCACCTCGGGAGATAAATCCGACGATGCTGAGTGAGGGACCGCAGAGAGTCACAATCAACAAAAGACGAAGACGTAGCGACGCGAGGGAATGAACTTCTCACCTCCTAAAGAAGTCGCAAACATACTCATGGGCTGCGAAAGAAAGAAGCTGGTTTTGCGATCAACGATTATGGCAATTCGCCGCAAGCATCGACGCAACCGCTGCTTAGACACAACAATATCTAGCTGACCAAGTCGGGAGACGGGTCAAACAACCACCTGTTTGCGCTGCGAGACGTCGAACGGGGCATGCATTTGCTAAGCCTTCGCATCCACAAAATGCGACGCCGAGGAGCGGCACGTACAAACGCCTACAAAACTTGCCTGGGTGGAAGAACGTGCGATCAGTGGGCACAGTCGGAACCAACGTCAGACCAGCCCAGCGCTGACCCTAGGGGCCACATGCGAACCCTACCCCTACCCCCCACGAGTTCTGAGGGGGAGGGTGGGGTTCACTTCGCTCGGGGTTTGGGGACCTCCGAGGCCCCAGCCGCCCGAGGCATCCTCGCAGAACGGACCAGGTCCCAAAACGGGGCGGCGACCCCGAATCCGCACGGACTTACCACACGGTGTGATCACCATACCGTTTGTTTGGATCTGCGCTGGACCCCCCCTCTCTGGCGCGCGAAGCGCCTCAGGGGCGACGCCGCAGGCACCGCCAGGGGCGCCCAGCGCAGATCCCAGAAATCCGTGCGGATCGCCAAGAGTGTAGGTTTATGCCGATTTTGCTCCTCGATCACCACACGGCGTGGTCACCACACCGGTTGGGGGCGCCCGACGGATCCCACCATTTGGCGGCGCGCACGGAGGGGTAGGGGGAGGGGGGGGGGCTTCTTAGAAGGAGGCTGCTTTTTAGCAGGAGCGTGCCTTACAGACAAGGCCCGCGCCTTCTAAGAAGCCTCCTCCCCTTCCCCCTACAGTCCACCCGTATAATAAGAGCGCACGATAAAAATGCAAGGGCCTTGGAAGACCGTGTCGACACTTTGCGAGCGGGGCGCAGCCAGCGAAAGCGGCCCAGGATCGGCCGAAGGGGAAGGATGCAAGGATAATACTGGAAAGTTTCTCATCCTTACGATGCGGGTTGACTGCACGGTGCCCAACAGCAGACATTGTCCAGAAGCGACAGCTGCCGCAGTTGGGCGGGCGGCCTTCTGCCTCAAATCTGGACAACATCTGCGGCGACTTCGACGGCGAGTCCTGCTCAAAGCAGACAGGAGCTTCTGTCGGTCTTCGCACCCGTCCTCCCCGTACCCATTTCGATTCTACCCCTCCTCTGGGGGGCTGCAGGCTCGGCGCGGCCGCGGCGAGGCCTTCACGCGGACCCCGGTGTACCCGGCACTGCGGAACGCTCTAGGAGCGTAATCGGCACTGTGTAACGCTCCGGGGGCGTTCCGGAACGCTCTGGAACGGACTTGTCCTCGTCCTAGCCCCGCCCAATTTGCCCCTCCGACTAGTGAAGGGGCCCATGGGACACACAAAGAAATAGACACGAATCACAAGATTCCCCATGTTTTCCCATATTTTCTGGGCTGTTGTCCTCCCCCCACCTCATATCTTGCCCCACATTTTCGGGGGAATCGACGATTCGTTGTGTCTGTGTGTTTTTTTCCCCTCCCGAGCTCGCACAAGCCATCCTGCGCCACCAAGCTGCCAAAAGCGACGTGGAGGCGGAGGCCCGGGCTTCTGGGGTCTCCGACGTCGCCAGGCCCGGGCGTTGAGGAGGAGGAGGAGGAGGAGGAGGAGGAGGAGGAGGAGGAGGAGGAGGAGGAGGAGGAGGGGGAGGAGGAGGGGGAGGAGGAGAAGGAGGAGGAGGAGGGAGAGGAGGGGAGGAGGAGGAGGAGGAGGAGGAGGAGGAGGAGGGGACCTGGTTTGGTGATGTGTGCTGGGGGACGCCCTCCCCGCCCCGTTCCACCAACCGGAACTGCCGTCACCCGAAGAACACCAGCTGCGGCAGACCTGGTTTAGTGACTCTGGCCAATTCAGGGGCTCCAGGGCCCTACTCCTAACCGGGTCCCCTTACCTGGGGTCCTGGCTGTACCCGACAGCCCCCCCCCCCATCCCACTCACAAAAAACGGGCCTCCACGTGGTGAAGCAGGACGTCGTCACGTGCAGCCCGACGCACTGCCTGCACACGTCGTAGTAGCGCTGGAGGTGCTCGGCTCGCACCTCTCTCGGGAGCAGGGCTACCTACCAGACCACCCCAACCCAACCCAAGACCCGAATTTCGGGTTTGGGGGGGGGGTAAAGGTTCCAAATTTGTTTTTTCAGTGTTCCCCGACCCCCCCCCACCCACCGGAAATGGAGGGCAAATTGAGGCCTTCGGGTTAGGTTGGGGTGGTTTGGTGGGTGCTGGGGAGCAGGCCTGAGGGGGCACGGCAGGGGGGGACCGCTGCAGGGAAACGTCGAGCTCGCCATCGGCGATGCATCGCCGATCGATCGGCGAGTGGCCTCCGACTGCGACCCCGCACGACCCTGGGCGGAGCGGGCTGCCAGGCAGCTTCGGCCCCGATGTGCGGGGGGGGGCAGGTGGCCCCGGCGCCCTGGAGGCGCCCTGGGAGCCCTCGTGGGGCTCCCTCGGGCCGCCCTGGGCTCGCCTTGGCCGTCCTGGTGGTCTCTTGGCGCCGGCTGGGGGCTCTCTGCGGCGGTCGTGGCTCGTCTCTGGCTGGAGCAGCCTCCAGAAGTCCTCGCGCAGAGTGTCTGATCCCGGGGGCCCGACGCGGCATGTAGGCTTACACGGCAGAGATGCGTCAGCGTGCCGCTCTTGGGCGCTCTTGGGGCCGTTGTTTGGGGCCTCTTGGGCCCCTTTGGAGGCTCTGTTGGGCCACCTTGGGACCATCCCGAGGCCCCACAGCGCATCGGGAGCGAAAGTGCGAGAAGGCCGAGATGATTGAATTGTCCTCCAGATGTTGAAATATTGTGCCTCCTGGGGGGGTCCTAGGGAGGCTGCCCCTGGGCAGGGGGATCCACCCGCTGGTTATACTACTCAGAGGCACGCGCGCGCTTCGCGTGCGCTCAGGTCCTCGCCCCTCCAATGCCGACGACAGTGACAACAAGCATCAGGTGTTGAATAAAATGCCACTGACGACATCACAATTTGGATGGCCCGCCGCGATGCCAAAGACGGCGCGTTGGGGGCATGCCCATGCTCGGCAAACCTATGCGGCGATGGCACTGAAACAGTCGAGTTCCCAAGAATCCTAACATCAGCCTGCTGCCTAACTGCTGAACAACTGCACCCTTCTCATCCTGTCGTAACGCTGTGCACAAGCGAATGCAACGACGGGGGAAGGACTAACCCTTGTAAGCAGAAGGAAACCATGCTTCGGACGCGCAATGAACTACTTGCAGGTGTCGCAAAGCGACAGAACATGCATAATGATACACATATACTGTAATGTGTGTGTGCGTGCAGACAAGCACCTGGATAGCTCAAGTACCCAGCAGAGCTGCACGCATTGATAGACGAGGTATAGATGAAGCTACACTCCGTAGCGGACGCCAGCTCGCGTCTTCCCTAAACAATATGTTGGTTGGTCCCCCGCATGCGCATTGACGTACTGTCAACGCTCACCTATTTAGCCAAAGCGTCTACAAGGTTCTCATGTGTCCGTACTCTGGTAACTGTGTCTTCTCCTCGTCGCATATTCTCTTGTAACAATAGCTGACACATTTCGATGTGTCTGACTGTTCCTCGTACCCGCCTGCTGCCAATGGCAATGGGTGCGCTGGCATGGCTCATTAACGAGATGCCACAGACGGCATCGGAATAGTTGAGTATGATTGCGGCCCAAACGCTACGGAGCCGCCAATCACCATTCCGCACCACGCTGCTTCTGCAGAAGATGAGTCGCGTCCAACGATTTTATCGCATGTGATCCCCACAATATTGTTCCTCCGTGTGTCGACTTACGTACTTCCTTGCAACCTGCGTGTTCGGCATCAATCCATACGGTTAACTCCACAGGCCGTTCTTGATAATGATACTGACACCCGCACCCGCAGTCGTTCTTGACGTTCTTGAGATACTTGCCAATCTTGAGAAAGCTTGCCCATGCCCCTCGGTTTGGGGCTGACATTGAGCGCGCAAGCGCCTTGACTGCGAACTGTAATTCCGAACGGTGTTGTCAGTGCTGGACTGCATGCCCTGGCCACCAAAGTTTTTGTACTTCGTCACTTCATGACTTGGTAGGGGCTCAGCATCTTCTTCTGCTAGTGGCTGCGTTTCAACCTGGCTTTTTCACAACTCTGCTTGTACTGTTCCAGGACTAACTCTCTAATGCCATTTATCCGCCCCATGCCATGAACCATCGTGGTTCCATTCCACAAATCGGTTAGTAATCCCAATTGACATCATGTCTGTCGGTGATGGCCCTAGGTTGCCCCAAATATCGCGAAGTGTGGCGAATCGCGTGCGCGAATCGCGTGCGAAATGTGGCGAAATAGGTGCGGTGGGCGCATGCGAACGGGGCCGTTGGGGCCGTGGGTGGAGCCCCCTGTGGGGCTGCGAAACGTATGATGGGTGGTCCGAAATGTGTGCGGTGGGCGCATGCGAACTCAACCACTGGCGCAGGTGTGCGTGCGGGATGCGCCACTGGGACCTTCGGCGGAGCTCCCTATGGGGCCACGAAACGTGTGAGGGGTGTGCCGAAATTGGTGTGCGTGACGCATGCGGGATGCGCCACTGGGACCTTCGGCGGAGCTCCCTATGGGGCCACGAAGCGTGTGAGGGGTGTGCCGAAATTAGTGTGCGTGACGCATGCGGGCTGCGCCACTGGGACCTGAGGCGGAGCTCCCCATGGGGCCACGAAACGTGCGAGGGGTGTGCCGAAATGGGTGTGCGTGACGCATGCGGGCTGCGCCACTGGGACCTTCGGTGGAGCTCCCTATGGGGCCACGCAACGCGTGAGGGGTGTGCCGAAATGGGTGTGCGTGACGCATGCGGGCTGCGCCACTGGGACCTTCGGCGGAGCTCCCTAGGGGGCCACGAACCATGTGAGGAGTGTGCCGAAATGGGTGTGACGACGACGATGATGATGATAATAACGATGATGATGATGGTGATGGTGATGATGATGATGATGATGATGATGATGATGATGATGATGATGATGATGATGATGATGATGATGATGATGCTGATGCTGATGCTGATGCTGATGCTGATGCTGATGCTGATGCTGATGCTGATGCTGATGATGATGATGATGATGATGATGATGATGATGATGATGATGATGATGATGATGATGATGATGACGATATCGATGATAGTGAGGATAATGATGATGATGATGAGGAGGAGGAGGATGAGAAAAGAAGGGAGGGGGCAGCGGGAGAAGTGAGACGCGGGACGATGTCTCTTCAAATCGAGGACCCAACACCACAGGATGATGGGAAATAAATCGCCCCCATGTAATGTTGGCCAGATCCGTCTTGTCTTCCGTTTGACCAGATCGCAGCAATCACATCAATGATTTGGGCGCAACCACTGTATCCTATCGCGCTGGCCCCGCCTGCTCCAGGCAGCCTGTGCTGCGCGTCGACGGAGACGAAGAAAGGGAACGCGAGGCGAGCAGACGACGGCGAGGCGAACGTGCGGGCGGGATGCCAGGGCCGGCGGGGCAAACCAGACGGGCGGGCAGGCGGGACAGGACAGAGGAGAGACTGCAGGCAGGGAGACGGATGTTCTGGACTGACGAGTGGCCCGCCACCGGCACAGCAAGCTCGCGCAGGCCCTGAGCAGTGCGTGCTGACGGACCTCGCGGCCCACAGTGGGGCTCGGAGGAAGCAGAGCAGCGCGCCGCCATCTGCATAGCAGACTCGAGCGGGCCAAGGGCGGGTGGCGCTACCGAACCCCGCGGACCCAGAGGAGGGAGCAGAGACGGAGGGAAGGCACGGCGTGAGCAGGCGCACCCGAGCAGCGCCGCGGGGCCCCCTGCAGGCAGACGGAGCGCGCAGACGGAACGCGTCGGGGCCGCGAGCCTGGCCAACGCCCGGGCCACACCTCACTCGGCAGCAAAGCCAGCACTTCCTCACTCGGGCGCATGCTGGCATGAATTGCAGAGCCGTGGAACTGCCGCGTGGGCGCGGGGGGGAGCGGTTCCCCCGAAACCTGATGGCCATGCCGCACGACTTTGCGACGGTTTGCGCCGATGTGCGTACGGAAGCGGGGCCCACCGCTCATGCACTCTCCTCAACCCATGATGCATTTCCTCGACTTCTGGCGGAGAGCACGAAGAATCAGAAACGCAGCTCGCCCCACAGCTCACAGAGCCGTACCGTGTGTAGTAGCTGTCTTCCCTGGCGTCGGTGTGACTTTATGTAAGGCCACCGGGGCCAGAACATGCCAGCACCTTCACGTTCCCCCACGGCCGAGCGCCGCAACATGGCAGCTCGTAACCTGGCAGCTCGCAACATGGCGAGTGTCATCCTCCGGACCCCAGACCAGAAAACGCCGCAGCATGCGGCACCGAGAGGTAGGATGGGGCGAAGGGGGGAGGGAAAGACAAACAGGTAAGGAATCCTCCAGGGTCTCAGCCTCCTGGGCACGTTCCTTAACCAACGCCCCCACCGTATCCGTCCCTCCCGTCCCTTCCCCTTGCGCTGATGTGTTCTCTGTCCGCGGACACGTGTCATGGCCGTCCTGCAACTCCAGCCAAGAGACAACATCGTGTTATGCGAAAGCGGAGCAAGGGAAGCTACATGCACAGGAGGAGGAGAAGGAGGAGGAGGAGGGGACGGGTGAGCAGGATGAGCAGGAGGAAGAGAACGAGGACGAACAGCAGCAGCAGGAACTGGAGTGGAAGGAGCGGAGAAACAGGAGGACCAGGGGAAGGCGGAGGAGGGGAAATGAGGTGGGCGGCGACAACCATGAAGAAAGACTCGGACCCAGAAAAAGGGCCCGCGCTGGGGCGAGAGCGCAATTCTGAACGACGGGAGCACAGCGCCGATCCGAAGATGAGGCCCACGCTACAGCGGGAGCACGATTCTGAAGACCAGAACCAATCGGAGTGGAAAACAGCACAGGAAAGGAAAACACAGGAGCACACGGAGAGGCCCCGGTACCTTCTGGACGGAATCAGGGGAGAGGGGGGAAGCGAGGAGGGAGGAGGGAGGCGAGGCAAGAGGGGGCAGGGGAAGCAGGGAAGGAGCGAATCGGGGCGGAGGGAGAGAGGGCCCCAGACAGATCGAGCGAGGCGAAGACAGGTGACGAGGCCAGAAGCAGACAACGTCGATATCCGAGGGTCCGCCGGGCACCCCGTCGTTGTGCAGGTCGAAGTTGTAGATGTTGACGATCCCGCCTGGGCCTACTTTGAGGGCGGCAAGCGACTCTAATAACTTCTTGCTGACCTGCGGAGGGCGCCAGAAAGAGCAACGATGAAGGCGGCGCCGGAGCAGAGGGGAGGCACGAGGGAGAAGGCTATAAAATGAAGTCGGGCGTGTCCCCTTACAGGTAAGGCTATAAAACTAAGCCGAGCATTTGTGGAATAAGAAATACGCAAAAAATACTCCGAACTGGTCAAAACATATTCAAAATATAGTCCCCCAGACTTTTGTTTGGCTATGCTTGAAGATTCCCCCTGTAGAGGGACGGGCCCGCCTTGAGCACAGAAAAGAGGCGGGAGACCGGGGAGCAGGAGGGCCGGACGAGGGAGCGCGAGGAGTCCAGGAGGCGAGGCAGGAGGCGAGGCGAAGGACGAAGGGGGCGAGGCAGGCGGCGGTCTTCGTCTCCGTCTCCTGTGCGGTTGCCGTCGTTCTGTCGTCGCTCCGCCTCTCCTGCGACACGAGCTCAAGACAGAAACGGCCCCCGGGATCGCCCACACACCGTTTGGCTCGAGCCCTGGGACGGAGCGAGGGAGAGAGGATGAGCAGGGGGCGCAGGGACGAGGTAGGGAGGGGGGGGGGCTGCGGCAGGCCAAGAAGGAGACCACGGCAAGGGCGGCATCGAGGACGGAGGGGGGGGGGATCGACGACTGCGGCGGCGAGCGAGGTGGTGAAGTGAGAAGGGGAAGGCCTTCTCAGAAGGCGGCGGGGCTTCTCAGAAACCCTCGCGCCTTCTGGAAGGATTTCAGCGTCTTCGGGGAAGGCTTAATTAGGAAACTTCTCAGAGGGCCCGAGGCCTTCTGAGCCTTTTGAGAAGACTTGCTCTGTCTTACTTTTTCTCAGGGCGCGTCGCCGAATCAAGAATGAAGAGGAGAGATCCAGGCTCGAAAGGAGGCAGGGGAACGGAGGGTGACAGAGGAGGGGGAACGGAGGAGAGGGAGAAGGAGTCTGCGGCGCGTGGGGAGGGGTGCGGGACGCGGGCCAGGGCAAGGAGGGCAGGACGGACGGCAAATGGAGCAGGGATGCGGTGGGAGACCCTCCCAAGGCTCCCACAGGTCAATTCCTTGCCTCCTCCTCCTCCTCCTCCTCCTCCTCCTCCTCCTCCTCCTCCTCCTCCTCCTCCTCCTCCTCCTCCTCCCCCATCTGCCCCTCATCATCTTTCCCTCCACTCCCGTCCACCTCAGGCACATCCTCACCCTCCCCCATCCTCATCATCCTTTCCTTCTCCTCACGATGTTGCTTCATCTCCCACTCCTCCCGCTTCGTCCTCATCCACTCCCTCCACCTCCACCCATTTTCCATTTGATTTACTCCTACCTGTCGCACCCCCAGACGTGTCAGCAGGACGGGCCAGGCATTTCGCCTGAGACTTCCTCACCGTTCAGATCTTGAAGCTTGAATGCTGCAACAGCTTCAGGACTGGAGGGCGGGCTGTTTTCAAAAATGTGGCTCTCGCTGTAGCGACGCGCACATTCGTCTCAAAGAGTGTACAACCCTGTCACAGATGGAGGAATATAAAATGTGGGCATCGCCTTCGCGCCGGACATATTCGTCCTACAGCATTGCAACAGCTTCGAATATTGGAGAGAGCGTGATCCGCCGCCGCCCGCTTTACTGTGGAAAATTTCCCCCCCCGTCTGGAACCCGGAGATCCCCCCCCCTTCCGAAAAGCCCCCCCCCGTGCTCGAACCCCCCACCCTCCTCCTCCCTTCCCCCAACAACCCCCCCCTCCCCAAACCCCCCCCCCCTCTGCCGGTTCGAACCCCCCCCCCCTCCAGAAGACCAGGAGGGTCACTACCAATTCGAACCCCCCCAAACACACTCGCCGCCGGCAAACGACTCCCGGCTCCCCACCACCGTCCTCACCACCGCCCTCACCACTGTCTGGACTCCCACTGTCCCCACTGTTCCCACCACTGTCCCCACTGTCCCCACCAGTACCCCCACCACTGTTGCATTGTCCCCACTGTCCCTACCGCTGTCCCCTCCACTATCCCATTCACGGTCTCACTCTCCCACTGTCCCCACCACTGTCCCACTGTCCCCATTGTCCCCACCACTGTCCCACTGTCCCTAACTGTCCCCACCGCTGTCCCACTCAGCTGTCCCACTGTCCCCACCACTGTCCCCACCACTGTAACCACCACGGTCCCACTCTCCCCACTGTTCCCACCACTGTCCCACTGTCCCCTGTCTCCACCACTGTCCCACTGTCCCTACAGTCCCCACCGCTGTCCCACTGAGCTGTCTCACTGTTCCCACCACTGTCCCACAGTACCCTCTGTCCCCACCACTGTCCCCGTGGTACCACTGTCCCATTGTCCCACCACCGTTCTCATCACCGCCCTCACCACCGTTCCCACCACCACAGTCCCCACCATTGTCCCACTGTCCCCACCACTGTCCAAGTGTCCCCACACCACTGTCCCCACCACCACCGTCCCCACCACTGTCCCACTGTCCCCACTGTCCCCACCACTGTCCCACTGAGCTGTCCCCCTGTTCCCACTGTTCCCACCATTGTCCCCACTGTCCCACTGTCCCCACCGCTGTCCCACTGTGCTGTCCCACTGTCCCCACTGTCCCAACCACTGTCTCACTTTCCCCACTGTCCCCACCACTCTCCCCACTGTACCACTGTCCCATTGTCCCACCACCGTCCTCACCACCGCCCTCACCACTGTCCCCACCACTACCGTCACCACCACTGTCCCACTGTCCCCTTGTGTCCCCTATCACTCTCTCACCGTCCCCTCACCACTGTCCCCACCACCACCGTCCCCACCACTGTCCCACTGTCCCCACTGTCCCCACCACTGTCCCACTGTCCCCTCACCACAGTCCCCACCACCACCGTCCCCACCACCGTCCCAATGTCCCCACCACTGTCCCACTGTCCCGAGGAGCGGGAACCGTTTGCCGGCAGCGCGGGGGGGGGGTCGAACCAGTAGTGAACCCCCCCCCTTTCCATGATGGACTAGGGGGGGGGAGGAGGGGGAGGAAGCGGCAGTGACCCCCCTCGGTTTTCGAGGGGGGGGACGGGTTGGGAACCCCCAGTGACCCCACCGGTGTTCCGCCAGCAGCGGTAGAGCACGCTCTCTCAAATATTGAGAGAGAGTGTTTTCAAAATGTGGCTCTCGCCTTGGTGCCGCGCTCGTTCGAATTGAAATGTTGCACTGCTCTTCATGGAGGGAGCGGTTTCCAAAATTCGGCGGTGGACAAACCTCCCTTTAGTAGACCTCCCCTTAGTGAAAACGGCCTGGGACCGAAACCGACGGACATGGACCCGCAAAAATGACGGCCGCGACGCCCTCTCGCGAACCGAAAACGGCCACTTCCTTAATCGACGTGTCAGGGTAGGAGGTCTGTCCACCCCCGGAAAGCACGGCTCTTGCCTGCTCGCCGCGCACATCAGATCTTGAAGGTTTGCAACGGTTTCAAAGATGGAGGGAGGTCAAAATGTGGCTCTCGCCTGAAGCGCCGCGCACATCTGCATAACAAAAAATCTGCAACCGCTCGAGGGATGGAGGGGGGCCAGCGTGAGTGTGGCTCTCGCCGCTCGCACTAAAGCCGCGCACGCTCGTAGAGAAAACTTGCGACGGCTTCAGGGACGGATGGGGAGGTTCAAGATGTGTTCGCCGTGGCGCCGAACACATTCGTTTTGAAAGCAGGCAGCCGCTTCGAAGCCGCTTCGAGGATGGAGGGGGGGCGGCTTTCAAAAAGAAAGTATCTCCTCGGCGCCGCGCACACATTCGCCTTGAAGCTGCGCAACGGCTGTCAAGTGTTGAGCACTGGTGGCTTTCAAACTGTAGCTCTCACCGTGACGCCGCGAGCATGAGTCTTCCTAAGTTTCCAACACTGCCAAGGGCGGAGGAGGGTGAAGTCAGAATGTGGCTCTCGCCCCAACGCCGCGCACAGTCTTGCTACACCATCTGCAGCGTTCAATGATGGAAGGCATTTCCGTTGCAAAACGTGGCTCTCGCCGCAGCTCCGCGCGTGTTGGTCCGAAAACCTGCCACAGCTTCAAGGATTGAGCACACGCCGCGTTCAACATGTAGCTCCTGCCTCAACGCCGCGCACGTTCGCTGTTATACAACACCTAGGCTGATCGAGGCATGTTCGTGTTCACCCTGGTGTTACGAGAGGTGAACTGACATTTGAAGACGTGAAGCTTCAAAGTGGAGCCCTCGCTTGAGACTTCCAAGGAGTTACTGGCCAGCGTAAACTGGTGCAGCAGCTTCATGGATGGAGGGCGGTCCTTCGCTGGATACCTCATGGGCACCCTCGGAAAGGGACATCGCTGGACACCTCGCTCGGCTGTATGACCACAGCTCCTCGCGCTCCTGACTGCGCGCCTGAAGCACGCAAGGCAATGCCGTTTGTTTTCGAAGCGGGGCCCTGCCCTGCCCCCTTGGCAGGCCAAACTGCGCTGGTCGTTCCAAGGAAGCGCGTCCTGCAGTGAAGATGAAAGCCTGCAGGGACGCATAAGGGGGGGACGTCGGACGGGAGGATGTATTACAGCATCGCTGGTGCAGGTTAGGTGTACCCTGGTCATCCATCCTCCCCCTCCTCCTCCTCCTCCTCCCCCTCCTCCTCCTCCTCCTCCTCCCGATCATCCCCCTCCTCGTCCTCAGAATCATCACCACCACCACCACCATCACCATCACCACCACCAGTATCAGCATCATCAGCATCATCATCATCATCATCATCATCATCATCATCATCATCATCATCATCATCAGCAGCATCAGCATCAGCATCATCATCAGCAGCATCAGCATCAGCATCATCATCATCATCATCATCATCATCATCATCATCATCAGCATCATCATCGTCACCATCCTCATCATCAACATCAGCAGCAGCAGCACTAGCATCATCAGCATCAGCATCAGCAGCAGCAGCATCATCATCATTATCAGCAACAGCATCGTCGTCATCGTCAGCCTCACCGTCGTCGTCAGAAGCAGCATCATCGTCAGCATCATCAGCAGCATCATCATCATCATCATCATCATCATCAACACCAACAGCATCAACATCGTCAACATCATCAGTAAATTAGCACCAGCAGAATCAGCATCAGCATCATCATGATCGGGATCATCAGCATGACCAGCATCGTGATCGGTACAATCATCGTCATCATCCGCATCGGCATCACCATCATCAGCAGCAGCATCGGCATCGTAATCAGCGTCATCCTTAGCACCATCAACAGCAGCATCATTATCAGTTCAGCATCATCAGCATCAGCATCATCGTCATCAGCAGCATCATCAGCAGCATCATCATTCCCATCCTCGTCCGAATCATCATATCACTCCTTCTCGCCATCCTCATTCTGCTCCCCCTCCGCCTTATCCTCCGCGTCATTTTCCCTCGCCACATCCTACTCCCGACTCCATCGCACCATCCGAGTTGTTATCCCTCGTGTGGTCCTGCTCCTTCTTCTCCTCCTCCTCCCCAGCCTCATCCTCATCCTCCTCAGCCTCCTCCTTCTCCTCCTCCTCCTCCTCCTTCTCCTCGGCCTATTAACCGCCTCCCAATCCTCCCTCCCCCATCCCCCGCCGTCTTTCTTGGGCATCGTCGGCCGATGCGAGCACGAGTGCGGGGGCGCAAATCGCCGAAGGCATGGAAAGACCATCCCCCAGAGTCTTCGCGACTCCAAAAGCGTTCTCCTCCTCCTCCTCCTCCCCCTCCTCCTCCTCTCCTCATCCCCCCTCTCTTCCTCCTCCTCCTCCTCCCCTCCTCCCTCCTCCTCCTCCTCCTCCTCCTCCTCCTCCTCCTCCTCTCTCATCATCATCATCATTCACATCATCAACAACATCATCATCATCATCACCACCACCACCACCACCACCACCCATCATCATCTCATCAACATCATCACATCATCATCATCACATCATCATCATCATCATCATCAGCAATCATCAGCTTCAGCATCAGGCTTCATCAATCAGCATCATCAGCATCACATCAGCATCATCATCAGCAGCATCAGCATCATCATCATCAGCATCATCATCATCATCATCAGCATCATCAACATCATCATCATCATCATCATCATCATCATCATCATCATCATCATCATCATCATCATCATCATCATCATCATCATCATCTCATCATCATCATCATCATCATCATCATCATCATCATCATCATCAGCTCATCATCATCATCTCATCATCCATCCTCCTCCTCCTCCTCCTCCTCCTCCTCCTCTCCTCCTCCTCCTCCCCTCCTCCTCCTCCTTGGCCTCCTCCTCCACTCCCTCCTCCTCCCTCCTCCTCCTCCACCTCCTCCTCCTCCTCATCCTGCTCCTCCTGCTCTTCCTCCTCCTACTCCTCCTCCTCCTCCTCCACCTCTTCCGTCGCCTCTTCCGAATAACCGCCTCCCACTCCTCCCTCGCCCAATCCCGCTCCCGTCCTTCTTGGTCATCGTCGGCCGCTGCGAGCACGAGAGAGCGGGAGCAAATCCCCGAACGTATGATATGGCCACCCCCCAAGAGTCTCCGCGATTCCAAAAGCGTCCGTCCGCCTCATCCTCATCCTCCTCGCCTTCCTCGTCTTCCTCCTCCTCCTCCTCCTCCTTCCTCCTCCTCCTCCTCCTCCTCCTCTTCTCCTCCTCCTCCTCCTCCTCCTCCTCCTCCTCCTCCTCCTCCTCCTCCTCCTTCGCCCTCTACCGATTACCCCCTCCGCTCATCCCTCCCCCAATCCCCCCCCTCTTCTTGGCCATCGCCCGGCAGCTGCGAGCATGAGAGTGCGGGCGCAATCGCCGATCGTACGATATGGCCACCCCCCAATAGTCTCCGCGATTCCAGAATTCATCCTCCTCCTCCCTCCTCCACCTCCTCATACCTCCACCTCCTCCTCCTCCTCCTCCTCCTCCTCCCCCCTCCTCCCCCCTCCTCCGCCTCCCCTCCCGCCTCTTCCTCCGCCTCTCCTCCTCCTCCTTCCTCCTCTGCTCCTCCTCCCTCCTATCCTCCTCCTCCTCCTCCTCCTCCTCCTCCTCCTCCTTCCTCCTCCTCCTCCCTCCTCCTCCTCCTCCTCCTCCTCCTCCTCCTCCTCCGCCTCCTCCTCCTCCTCCTCCTCCCCTCCTCCTCTTCCGCCTCCTCCTCCCCTCCTCCTCCTCCTCCTCTCCTCCTCCTCCTCCTCCTCCTCCTCCTCCTCCTCCTCCTCCTCCCATACCTCCTCCTCCCCATCCCCCCCTCCCCTCCCCTCCCCCTCCTCTCCTCCTCCTCCTCCTCCTCCTCCTCCTCCTCCTCCTCCTCCTCCTCCTCCTCCTCCTCCCCCTCCTCCTCCGCCCTCCTCCTCCTCCTCCTCCTACCCCCTTCCTCCGCCTCCTCCTCCTCCTCCTCCTCCGC